GGTCACCTCCATAGGTGTGAGAGCTGGAGCCGGGGCCGGAGCAGGCGCCAGAGGGGGAGTCGAAGCAGGAGCCGAAATAGGCGTTGGAATCGGGATTGGGGTCGGAGCCAGCGCAAGTGTCGGAAGTAGGGTCGCGGAGGGCGTCGGAAACTCGAAATTTGGTCCCGCTGCAGCTCACTTTGGCGGTGTTGGCCTATTGCGGTCCAAGCGCTGCTGATCGAAGACATGCGTCTCGTCGTTGTTGCTGTCGTGGGAAGAGAAGGAAAGGGGGGGGAGAAAAAGAGAGAGAGAGAGAGAGAGAGAGAGAGAGAGAGAGAGAAAAAGAGAGAGAGGCAATCTGCAGGAACATTGCTCAATCTGCAGTCCTGCCTCTCCGACTTCCCGCAAGTATCACTGGTCCTCCTCCGCAGCATCGTCGAAGGGCTGGAACGTCCCTCGTGGCTTCATGGAGAAGCTGGTTCATGAAACTCCTGTGGTAATCAGGACCTTCTGCAGGTCGATGTCGCGCATGATTTATCAGCCGGTACATGACGTATATTGCCACCGATTGTAGTCGTAGTTGGCGATGCGTAGGAGACTCGGCCATCATCCACCGACCTATGCTCGATGGCCAGTCGTGCATCCGCAATCGAGTTCCCAGCCATGCATGAATCACTGGACACCACAAGTAATGCTCCACGGCGTCGCGCGCAGTGGGGCAGCCCAACAAGCAAGTGCCCTCTCGGCCTCGCAGCCCACGCATTCGGCGGTCAGTGGTCCAACGATTGAACAGCGTACTCAACACTGCCGCCCGGACCCTTGGCGGCACCAGCCGGCGCAGCTTCTGGAGGTTAATGTGAATGCGTCGTGAAACTCGGCCGGGTGGCCCAACCAAGTTCCATCGCATAATTTTGTGTCGGATTCGCATGGCCGGGTCGTGCCCTTGGAGTGCCTGGAGCTTTCTTCCGAACCATGCTTGTGCGCGTTTTTTGAAATTCCGTAGAAAAGGCGTCGTCAGTGGGCCAGATGGTTGCCCAGTGATTTCCCATCTGGTGTTGCCGATGTCAACTCCTTCCCGTGCTGCCTTGTCCACGAGCTTCTCGACCACGGTAGGAATGTGCTTCTCGTACCATCCGTCCCAGCGGGCAGCCCTGACAGGGTGATCGGTCTGCCCTCTCGCAGAAGCCAAGTCCAGGCGGAGACGTAACCATGGAATCTTGCCGTCGTCGTGGGACTCCCAAGCATGCATCCGCAGCATGGCTGCCAGGCACGTCTCGTAGAGGGGTCGCACGCAACGATCAAGACCAAATTCAGAGCCATGTTGCAAATCCGACGGGATACACCATGCACCGGGACCTGGAGCAACCCGGCGAACTGCGAGTTCCTCTAGCTTCAAGATGTCATCTGGGGGAAGTTCCACCTGGGCCACAAAAAGCAACACTGGTAGCACGTACGCGTCGTAGGTGTCAATCGCCGCATGGAGGCCCATCTCGCTCCAGGGCCATTCCTGGAGACGCGATCGATACTTGTCTGCTGGTTTACGCCATGATTGCGAGCCTTTTCCAGGTCCTATGTGGATGCCCAGATATCGTCCGTGCGTCTCCCAGCTGACCCGAGGGGCCTGTGAGTCGTCTTGCATGCGGCGCCGTATGCTCGCCAAGTCCTCTTCCCACAGCGGTATGACTACCGTTTTGGACATGTTGAGGGAGAGACACGACACCTTTTCGAAGACCCGGAAGGTGCGGAAGATGCGCCCATGCTGTTTGCTCCAAGAATGCACCGTCATAGCCGTGTCATCGGCGAAAGCTCGCGTTGTGGCGTCTGGAACCCGCTGCCCGAGAATGCGCAGTAAGCTGTCGGAGGCGAGGGCAAACAGTAGGGGTGAAAGAGGGCACCCCTGTCGAATCCCCGCCTCGAAGGGCACCGTGCCGTACATGTGTCCATGGATAAACAAGCTTCCAGTCGTGTTGTGGTAGAGGGAGTGCAGGACGTTCATGGCAGTCACGGGTAGTCCTGCCGCAGCTGCCACCGCCAGCAAATACTGCCGGGAGATGCTCGGGAACGCCGCCGTGAAGTCGAACAAGATGATCGTGGAGTCCTCGTGCGATAACGAGGCCATCATCGCTTCGTGCTCGATTTCGACGACTTTTTTCATCATTGACCGACCAGGCAGAAAACCTCGTTGATCTCGAGTTATCCGAGGTGCTAGGACAGGTTCCCACCGAATCCTGTAGGCGTTTGCGATAACACGGTTGTCTGTATTAATAATACTGAGCGGCCTTGTGCCCTGAGGATCGTAGATATCCGTGCCGTCGGGCCCCTCCCGGATAGGCTTCTTCGGTAAACAACATAGTAAGGACTCGTTGAAATCATCGTGTGATTGTATCCCTGGTGTCAAGCCGTGTTCCAGCATGCGCCCCGCGTCCAAGAGTGCGTGCACAGCGAGGGGGCCGAGTTGCCGCCATGCTTGGTACGGTACTACATCGGGGCCCGGCCGTGAGTTGCCAGCCAGCCTGAGGGCTCTCTGCGCGTCGCGGATGCTCAGGCGCCAAACCCAAGCGGGAACCGCTTCCTGACGTGGGCCAATGTGCTCCGCAAGCGATAACCACGACTGAGGCGCAGGCTCGTCGATCTCTTTGCGACCAAATACAGCAGCCCAGTGTTGTTGCAAAAATGTGGCGATCTCAACCGGGTCTGTGGTGACCTCCCCGTGCATGTCTTGCATGGCATGTAGCCCTGCGTTGTGTATGCGACGGGTCAGCTTCGCCAGCCTCCCGTTGATGGAGTTGCGCTGAATGCGCCGATGGTGTTCGTCGGAGTCGCGGTCGGTATTCTGCATATTGCGCATGTCTGCCAGGATCTCCGTCTTGACTAGGTCGACGGCCTTTGTCTGCAATCGCCGTAGGCCGCCGGCTAGATCAATCCCACTAGGAAGTACTTCGTCTGCCCATGCTTGCGGCAAGCGTTTTCGCAGTTGACGTGTCGTGGCAACAATCCCGAGTTCGATGCTGGATATGATGCGAAATGCTGTTGCCGAAGTCTCTGGTATCGTCGGGGCTGCGCGTGCTTCCTCTCCTCCGGTGTCGCGCATATTGCGTTGCACTGTGTACATCGCATGTTTGAGGACAGTCAGACGTTGGATGGCATCTTGTTCATGTCCACCTGCTCCCCGTTGTTCCAGTTGGTAGTGGTACTCCCTAGATGCACGGACAGCCCAATCTGGGTGCTGGAAATACTTTGCCGTAATGCTCGGAGGTCGGGCTGATGCATCTGTTGCCCGTTTTCCGAATGATACTGGTCGATGGTCGGATGCGCGAGGGCATCAGAAGGGCTTCTCGGGGTTCTCCGTGTTTCCTCAATTTGCTGTTGGAGGCACCTCTTGCCCACAGGGGGGGCGGGGGGGGGGGCACCGCGCCGCGCCCGCAGTGGAGGGCGCCCATCGCGCGGGGGGGCCCGATGGCATCAGCGTGAGGGGGGGGGCCAGACCCTGGACCATCTATCTCATATCCGTCCGTCGATCCGTCCATCCATCCGTGCCTCCATTCATGCATCTAGTCCTCCCTCCCACCCCACGTCCACGCCCCAAAGACCCACCCCCTTCGCTCCCACGCAGTCCCCCCTCCCCCCACAGGGGCCCCCCCTCCCCCCACAGGGGCCCCCCGCGCCACTACCGCAGGGGGGGGTGCCAGTGCGCCCAATGCAAAACCCTCCGGGAAAGAGGGGGGGGGGTTCCAGGGCGGCGCCCGGTGCGCCCTGTACGACCCCCCCCGGGAAAGCGGTGGGGGGGGTTCGTGCCCGGGGGCACCGCCGACACACACACGCACACACACGCGCACACACACACGCACACACACACACACACGCACACACACACACACATACACACACACACACACGCACACACACGCACACACACAC